CCTTGGGCAGTAAATCAGTATTTATCCCAGGTATACAAATGGACTTTGGACTCCCATCCAACAATGTGAGATGCACTCTCACCCTGGACTCTTGGGGGAGGGTCTAGGCCCTGCCCTGGATGAAATGACAGACTATGGACACCCCCATGGAGGGCCTCACCCTCCTTGGGGAAATGAGGGGATATTGGGGGGACGGGGGGAGGGCACGGGAGGGAAACGGAGAGGGACCTGGAACTGACTTGTGAAGCAACCTTGTTTCTAATTTAAATTTAAAAATAAAAAAGTCTCCCAACCAAAAAAAAAGCCCAGGACTAGATGATTTTAGTGCAGAAATCTACTAGACGTTCAAAGGAGAGCTAATACCAATATTCCTCAAAATATTCTACAAAATAGAAACAGAAGGAGCATGGCCAAATGCATTTTGAGGCCAGGCCACAGTTATCCAAATCATACAAAGACTCAACAGAGAAAGAGAATTACAGAGCAATTTCCTTCATGAACACTGATGCAAAAATATTCAATAAACTCAGAAACCAAAACATCAAAAAGATCGTCCACCATGATCAAGTAGGCTTCATCCCAGAGATGCAGGGATGGCTCAACATATGAAAATCTATCAATGTAATCCACAATATAAACAAACTCAAGGAAAGAAACCCACACGATTATCTTATCATATGCTAAAAAGTCTTTGACAAAATTCAGTACCTTCCCAATGATAAAAGCCTTAGAGATATGAGGAATACAATGCACATACCTAAACATAATAAAGGCAATTTACATCAAGCCCATAGCCAATGTCAAATTAAATGGAGAGAAACTCAAAGCAACTCCACTAAAATCAGGAACAAGACAAGGCTCTCCACTCTCTCCATATCTATTTAATACAGTACTTGAAGTTCCAGCTAGAGCAATAAGACAACTGAAGGAGATCAAGGGGATACAAACTAGAAAGGAAGAAGTCAAAGTATCACTATATGCAGATGATGATATTATACATAAGTGACCCCAAAAATTCTACCAGGGAACTCCTACAGCTGATACATACCTTCATTGAAGTGGCAAGATACAAGATTAACTAAAAAAAAGTCAGTGGCCCTCCTATATACAAATGATAAATGGACTGAGAAAAAGCAGGGAAACACCCCGACACTGTCCAGAGGGCCAGGACCCAGAGGGGTATAGCCCTATGATAGAACCAAATATGACTGACGAAAATAGTAAACAAAATGATTCATAATGATATTCTTCTGTACTCATAGATCTATGCCTAACCTAATTGTCATCAAAAGGCTTCACCTAGCAACTGATGGAAACAAACGGAGAGACCAACAACCAAACATTAAGCAGAGCTCAGGGAATCCTGTAGAAGGGGTGAGGAAGGCTGTGGGAACTACAAGCCTATAGGGTTCAGGGAGCAGAATGTGGTGGCTTGAATAAGAATGGCCCCATATAGGCTCATATATTGAATAGTTCTACTTTGAACATGCAAGCACGCACGCGCGCACGCACATGCACACACACACACACACGATTTTATGTATTTATATAAATATAAAATCCACGATTCACAATGAGAGAAAACATACAATTTTTCCTTCTGACTGATTTATTTTGTTTAATATAATCTCCATTTGGTTCTATTTTCCTGCATGTTGCATAGCTGTGTTCTTCTTTGACTAAAACAAGTTAAATCAGCCTTATTTTGTAAATTATTATTTTTATGTGTGCATCTGGATATATGTGCATGTGTAAACATGGAGGGCAGAAGAGGAAATTAGGTGTCTTCCTCCATGATTTTGTGCCTATTCTTTTGAGGCAGGGTCCCTCCTGAACCTTGGATTCAACTAGTTTTCTCAACTAGGCTGGAAGCCTGCAAGCCACAATGATGCTCCTGTCTCCACCCCATTCTGAACTATGGGTATTGGCAAGGTGTCTGGCTTGTTAGAGGAGTGCTGGGATCCAAACTGTGGTCCTCATGATTGCGCAGCAAATTCTCTAAACTGCTGAGACATCTCTGTCCTCAGTCTCAAGGTCTTCCTATGGGCCCAGTCTGGTTAGAACTTATAATCCTTTATTTTTTTACTTTATTAATCTTTTTAATCATCTGTTATATGTGAATGGATTAAAAGTGTTGACTTGTTAGAAGAAGTGTGTCACTGGGGCTTGGGTTTTGAGGTTTTAAAAGACCAGGAAGTGTGTCACTGGGGCGTGGGCCAGACCTAGTGTCAGTTTCTTCTCTCTCTCTCTCTCTCTCTCTCTCTCTCTCTCTCTCTCTCTCTCTCTCTCTCTCTCTCTCTCTCTCTCTCTCTCTCTCTCCTCCCTCCCTCCCTCCCTCCCTCCCTCTCTCTCTGCCTGCTTATGGGTTAGGATGTAGTTCTCAGCTACTTCTCCAGCACCGTATCTGCCTGTGTCCATGCTCTCTGCCATGATGATAATGGACTGAGCCTTTAATACTGTAAGCCAGCCCCCAATTAAATGCTTTCTTTTATAAAAGTTGCCTTGGTCATGGTGCTCTTCACAGCAATAGAACACTGACAAAAACGACTGTGAAATAATGGATATATTAATTAGCTTGACTGTGCTAATAATTTCACAATGAATTCTTATTATCAGAACATGATACAATCTTGATCATATATGATGCTTATTTGTAAAAATAAAACTTAATAAACCAAAAAAGAGAGAAAAAAATCACTCCAATGGTAGCCAATTCTAAATATTCAAAGAAAGACAAAATAATCAATATAAGGTCTTAGTCCAGGAAATTAACTGTTTGTACCTTTACCCCTAGAAATACAGGAAAAAGCTATGATCACATAATCTTTCTTGGGTATCAGTGGGATGAGAAACCCCTGGAAGTGTCAGCCTCTGGAAGTATCAGCCTCTGGATTTTACGTTGCATAACCATAGTTTTCACTTTGATCTAACTACTTTAGATGTGATCTCTAGAGCTAAGAGGTCACCTTTAATTTTTGCTAACATTTAGCAAAAATGCTAATGACGGTCAAATGCCACATGTTTTCTTTCCACAGCTTATGCTGGTTGCCATGGCTACCATGCTGTGAAAAAGTGTGCTTAGTGCTGCAGTGTCTCTCCCCTCTTTTTAAATGTAGTTTTAACACATGAACTCCCCTTTTCCCCTCTTAGAAATCATAGCCCCTTCTTCTATTGATCCTTTTTGCCTTTTTAGAAATGCCCAGGGGTCTTGTCTCATAAGTCATGACCCATCTGAGCCATAAAGTAAGCTTTGTTGAGCCCTTATCTGCTTTTATGACCCTGAGAAACGCTTGCCTGTTACCTTGATATTGCCATAGAATTGCTAATTGTATCTATGTGGGTATATAAACTGGAAACCTTGTGGGATGAAGATGGAAAAATAAGACATTACAAGAAGTCAACGTGTGAGCTGATTCTTTCACCCTCAGATTTCCCTAAGTTCCAATGCTTGCTGTCATTTTCCTTCTGCATCCTGAGAGATTTATGAGGCTGGTACTCAATCAACTTCGATACACAAGAATCTAGATTCAATCCCCAGCACTGGCTCAAAAAAACAATCAATTAAAATTGGGCACATACTCCATAATTCCTTCTATGTGAAATGCTCCAAAGAGTCAAATTTGTAGAGGAAGAGGACCGATAGGTAATAGGGTGTGGCTGATAATGGACATTAGTTCCTTTGAGGGGAAGAATAAAAATATTCTAAACTTTATTTTGGTGATGGTGAAAGAACTCCTTATGAACAACTAAAATTCACTCAGTAACATGTTTTTAAAAGGAGTGAATTATAGAACATACTACTTATTACATAAAGTTAAAACAGAGCTAACAATTAACCCAGGGATTCCATTCCTATATATATTGTCAAAATATATTTAAAAGTTTGTCTGGGGTCAGGCACAGTGGTGCATACCTTTAATCCCAGCACTCAGGAGGCAAAGGCAGATGGGTCCCTATGAGATGCTGGCCTGGTCTACATAGTGAATTCCAAGAAAGCCAGAAATAGAGAGTATGAGTGTCTCAAAAGAAAAACAAATTGTTTATGTGAAAACTTATAGAGGCTTAAAAAACAATATTTACAACAGCCAACATTGGATAATTGATGAAGGGACAAAGTATCCATCCAGCTGAATATTGTTCAGCAATAAAAAAGAATGAAGTACTGATTAACACACTATATGAGCTTACCTTACAAATCTTACACTAAGTTAAAGTCAGTCACAAAGGTCCTGTATTTCATCTAGAGATATATGGGAATGGGGGATGGGTACTGATAGGTTGTGATGCTTCTCTTTGAGGTGATAAAATATTCTAAAATGAGGCTGTGGTGATGACTGCACTACTTTGTGAATATTCTAAATCCACTGACATGTACAATTTTAAATATAATATTTTGAGTTATATCTCAATTATGTAAATATCCCAAAGAAAACAACTCAGAACTGAACACCTAAAAAAGGAAGGTTTGAGTACCTTCAAAATTATAAAGGCTAAAACAAAGTATGAATATAAAACAAGAAGGGCACATATAAAACTCAATCAGAAATGAAAGATGAATGGCGAAGAAATAGTTCATGCATTTCACTGAGTTACTGTCACACTAGATGGTTTCCAATAGCATGAACTTTCATACTTCTCTAGCCAACACCTTGAACAAAGATAGGAAAACCAAGTTGATAAGGTTTAAACATGGCAACATCTGCAAGGGACAGCATGTACTTGAACAATAGAATTAGAATATTTTAATTATACATGAGTAGAGATAAAACTAAAATTTACCAGACCAGATGAATTCAAGCCAAGGGAAAGATTCAAATTTCATACCTGAATTTGTGAATCAGTACAAGGGAAAGAAATCATTTTTCATTATTTCTAGAAGTAATCTCAAATTTGAACTGTAGATATTTAGAAGGTAAAATGAAATAGTCCCTTCAAAATGCCAACAATACCAACAAAAGCATTCAGGTTTTCACAGAGAGCTATGACCTTTATTGCCTTACCTTCTTTCAAACGATCCCCTTCAGCCTTGGTTTTCTTCTGTCTTTCTGATCCAGCAAGGTCTACAAGATGCAGCTTGGAACGAAAACTGCTGTTTCTGTGATGATAACAGGAAGAAACAGTGAAAATGATACACAAGTTTGAAAGTAGACTAGGTATCAAAGATGATCACCTAGCTCTCATTTATTTCAAGACAGTAAAAGTAGTTCCAGTGGTCATTAATGCTCATCACTATAAAGTCTGAATGTCAAATCAGCTGAAGCTGCTCCCTGACATTTGGCCTTCACAGCACATGACAACTGTGACACTCTAACTTACTTGTCATTTTTCTTCCTTTGTTCTATGGAGATCGTAAAGATGGCATGAGATCGAGATGACTGGGAGTTCATAGCTGTGGAGGCCACAGTCCTGGCATTGTTACCCTGCTCTAGACAGGAAACAGTGTCTGAGGCAACGAGCACAGTCTTCTCTGTGAGTCCCACAATCTAATTTCAAGAGAAAAAAAGCTTCCTTGAGTCATTCTTCTAATGGTTGAACAGAAATAGAGGGATTAGGGAGTAGAAAATGCCTTCCTGTCCCAGGAAAATACCATTATATACAAGGGCTGTGAAAATGAGGGCTTGTAATAGGAAACTGTACGATGTGTGAGAACCTATGAAGTTGAGGAAAAAAACGGTACTAGATAATGCTGGAGTTAGAGCAGGTCTTTAAGTCTTGGAGGGTAGCTGGCTTCTGTGAAGTCCCAAGTGAAAATCAACCTTTGCTCCAAAAGAGATCAAGTACAACATAAATTGCTATGGCATTTCTGTTTTCTCCTCCCCATAACTTCATGTTCCTTCCTGTACCTCCAATCCATTTTATACTCCATTTGTTTTCCCTAGAGAAAATAATATGGCAGTTTTCACTGGCTTTGGAAGCCACAAAATTCAAGTTTGGGGCATGTCAGTTTAACTACCTGGGGGGACTTAAACAAGTTAAACTGTCTTGAAGCTTTGGGGTGGGGATGATAGGACTAGATTATTCATGAGGTTCCTGCTAGCCTTAGTATGTATACTATGAATGTATTCCTAAATCTATATCTGTGACTCTAATTTCTCCTCCTTTATTTCTAGTTGCTACTTATCCTTTGGAATCTGTACATTATAAACAAAATCCATCTTGCTTTCTTCCACCAATACCAATTGTCACTACTGCTCATTTCTACTGACAGCTGTATCTTCATAGTCTCAAAACAACACTGTTAGTTTCTCTCACTCCTTCATATCCCATGTATCACCAACTCAGATATTATTGGGAATCAGTTACTTCCTCTTTTTGAAACCACATCCACACCAATATTACCTGGTATGAAAAAAACAAGGCAACAATTATCCCCCAATTACATCTTAACGGCCTAGTCTTTCTTCCAATTCATTTTCATTTTCAGTCAGCCTTCCTAAAATGCCAGCATACTACTAACCCTATACTAGATGGTAAGGATACAAAGAAAATTTTGAAATCCTCTCTGAAGTTCCAGGAGCAACAAAGTTGGAGTGACACACACATAAGATTAAAAGCCTAAACCGGGCGTTGGTGGCGCACGCCTTTAATCCCAGCACTCGGGAGGCAGAGGCCAGCCTGGTCTACAAGAGCTAGTTCCAGGACAGCCTCCAAAAGCCTCGGAGAAACCCTGCCTCAAAAATAAAAAAAAAAAGATTAAAAGCCTAGTATAAGTATCCAGTGCAATGTTTCCTTCAGAAGTTTTACATAATTGAGTACTGTTAGTGGGGGGTGGGGGTAGGGAGGAACAGTTGTTTAGGCTGGCCTCATAATCTTTTTCTAACACAGCTCTTTTCACTTCCTAGCCCAAGTTTTCTTTCCTAGACAGGCCGGTATAGGCGTATTTTACTTTTGTGCTATAGTTACTCCTTACTATAGAAAGTCTGTTTCTTTTTTTTTTTTTTTACAATTTGTGCAAGTATATGTGTATACACACAGCAGCTACAGCAATGCATCTGCTGCCAAAGTGCATGTGTAGAGGTCAGATGACAACTTGTAGGAGTCAGTTCTCTACTTCCATCTTGTATGTTCCAGGGATCAAACTCAGTTATCAGGCTTGGTGGCAAGCATTTTTACCCGCTGAGCCATCTCAACAGGCCTCTTACTTGTTTCTTAAATGGGATCTGAAAGAAATGTTTATAAACTTGTTCTTACACCAATTTGTGTCAGGAACATATATTTTTTTGAATCACGTATCTTGCCTCAAACAATGCCTGGGATTCAATTCCTGCCTTCATGTGGGACACATAAAAGATCTTCAGACATGATCAAGAGGTAGTTCAGCACCTACATTCTTCCTGGAGATAGCATATATTTTGCCCAGATTTTGTATCTTCATTGTCCAAATTATCTTCCTGTATATTTTAAACTTACCAGGCCTGATATTTCAAGTCTGGCTTTAATACTTGGATCACAACTTAAGGATCCTGAAGGAGAAGACTCACAAGAGCAGACATCTACTCTTTGCTTACAGTCTAAATGGCTACAGGCTGTAGTTTGTGAAGAGTGAGAGGGGAAGAAGATAAATAAGCTATGATTTCCCACACTTTCCCAAGCCTGTTTTACTCCATATCTCTTCCACTTGCAGCCTCTGATTCTTCTAGTTCTGAATATTCAAGCACTGCACCTAGACCATGTGGCCAAAGCTCTCAGATAAGTGACCATTTCTCTACGGGGCTATTTACTCCAAATTGTTGTATTTAATTTTCTACTTTTTTATAGCATTCCAAAGCCCAGTACAGTGTCTGATGGTGATGTCCATTATAATTTTCTATGATCATGGCTATCTCACAACAAAGTAGTCAGAAGCAACACCTAAGTGACCTCTTGATATGTGGTTAGTGTACCTAAGGAACAGATTGTTTAATTTTAATTAATTACAAATTAAATACCTTCTTGTAGCAAGTGACTACCATACTAAAGGACTTAGTCTCAGAACCCTGTAAACAATGTTTAATTGCTGCTACATCTTTCAAGAAGTAAGAAAGTGATGAAGCTTATTAGTATGAGTCTTTCTTTATTTTTCCCCACAAGAGTGCTCAGCTAGCAATTCTAGAATAACTAAAGGGATTAGGACGAAACAAAACCTGAAAGACTAAGATGGTAGCAATCATTCAAACCCACAGTGGCGAAGAAAAGGGATGTGACCTTTAGTACTTATCAACATTTGTAATAACATCAAAAAAAGAAAGAAAGAAAGAAAGGAAGGAAGGAGGGAGGGGAGGAGGGGAGGAAGGGAGGAAAAACACACCTTTATGCCTTCCTTAGGATCCTCCCGGATATTTATTTGAGAAGCTTTGTCACGGGATGGACAGAGAAGATCCAAAATTTCTTCATTGTATATCTGATATTGTTAAAATAAAGTGGCAAAATATGTTAACAGTAGCCATCTCTGGGTGGGTTGCAAGATCATAACTAATTTTTAAAAATTATACACACACACACACACACACACACATACACACACACACACACACACACACACGCATACACACATACACATCACTTGCAGGAATTTTAAAAGGCTGTAATGGCTGTGGGCACAGCTCTGTGGTAGATCTCTTGCCTTGCCTATCATTCCCAAGGCCCTGAGATTGATCCCTAACACTGCAAACAAAGGAGAGGAGAAGAGGGAGGGAAGAATAAACAGGAGGGGTGGAGACAGAAGACTGGAGAGGAGAGGACAGAAGATGGGAAGAGGGCAGGAGGAGAGCAGGAAAGTAGACAAGAGGAGATGGAGGAGGGGGGAAGAAGGAAGGGAAGGGCCAAAGGGGAGAAGCAAAGGACTTTATATGTATTAACTTGATATCTTATAGGGGTGGGCTTCTATATTATGACAAAATTAATATTGCTCTTAAAATAAAGTATCTTGGAAGTAACAGGCACATGAAAAGTTATGTGTGTGGTGTTCAAATTCAGTTCTATTTCAGATATGATTTATTTGTATTTTAATTATGTATGTATCTGTATATATGTGGGTACATGTGAATACAGGTGCCTATGGAGGCCAGGAGCATCTGATCCCCTAGAGCTGGAGAAACTGAGCCTAGGGTACTCTCCAAGAACAGCATGTGCTTTTAACCACTAAGATGTCTCTCCAGCTGTCAAATTTAGTTCCTTAGTGATGCCATAACAGCATCGGTTTTACCAATTAAAATGTGAACCATGGTTGCTTATGGGGAGAGTGGAAGTTGGGAGAAAGGGAGCAATAAAACAGTAAAATTTTAAGTATTTAAGAGAATGTTTCATACATGATAAGCACTACACTTATTTAGTGTTATTGCTGATGTCATTATTTAACATGCTAGTTTCTCAAATCATTTGTACATTCAATTACCTTGACCAAGGTTGGATTAACCAAGACTAAAGAAGGCTAATCTGGGTGGGGTTGGAGAGATGGCTCAATGGTGAAGAGTGTACTGCTCTTGTACAGGACCCAAGTTTGGTCCCCAGTACCCACATCAGGCAGCTCATAGCTGCCTGTAACTCCAGCTCCAGGGATCCTATGCCTCTGACTTTCTCAGGAACCTGCACTCACATGCACATACAAACAGACATACACATAATTAAGAATTAAATAAATCTTTAGAAAATAAAGGGTAATTGACTAATTGTCATCTTAGAGCCTTCATCCAGTAACTGATGGAAGCAGATGCAGAGATCCACAGTCAACCCACCACCAGGCCAAGCTCCAGGAGTACAGTCAGAGAGAGGGAGGAGGGATTATATGAGCAAGGGGGTTCAAGACCATGAGGAGGAAACCCACAAAGGCAACTGACTTGAGCTCATGGGAGCTCATGGACTCTGGACTGACAGCTGGGGAACCCTGGACTGACTAAACCCTCTGAATGTGGGTGACGGTTGTATGGCTTGGTTTGTTTGTGGGGCCCCTGGCAGTTGAGCCAGGATTTATCCCTGGAGCATGAGCTGACTTTTTGGAGTCCATTCCCTATGGTAGGATGCCTTGCTCTATCTTGATGCAGTGGGAAGGAGCTTGATCCAGCCTCAACTTTGATATGCCAGGCTTTGTTGATTTCTCCATGGGAGGACTTACCCTTTCTGAGGAGTGAATACAGGATGGGGAAGAAGCAGGAGGGGAGTAGGGAGGGGGAACTGTGGTTGGTATGTAAAATTAATAAAAAATGTAAAATAAATTCAAGTTAATTGTAATCATCTTTAATCCCCTTCTAATTTTATCTTTTATATCTGATAACATATGACAACTCAACATCAGTGTGAACTATTTACATACAATTTATAATTGTATGCATAAATTTTATAAACTTAGTTCTTGTTCCTCATAGATAGATATCACTGCAGTAGAACCAACAAACTCACTTCTGAGAAGCCAAATTCTCTAAATATTCCTTATGCCTTTTGGTGTCATGAGGTTAGATATAATTGGACAATCAATTTTATACTGCTATACAATGCAGTTTCCTATAAGGACAAGGTCTTTAAAATCTGTTAGTCTACTGATGTCCCCCCATGTACACAATCTATCTTTGTACCCAGAGCAGGGTCCGGCACAAAGTAGATGCTCCGTTAAGTATCTGTTAAGTAAATATACATTTTATCACCACTTACACAGCATAATATTTTGCCTGATTTTAATAACATTCTTCATGAAGTAGCAGTGGCATGCTAACTCAAGCCTTAGCAGTAAAGTAAAATGGAGCACTTCTCTGCAGACTCCACATGGAATCAATGATAAAAGCCAAACTAACATTAAACAATCCCTATCATTTTTTTGCATGGCAGTGCCAATTCTTATAACAATCAGATTAAGCAGATAATTCTAATTAAGAAAAGAACTGGGTTGGATCCAGATCCAACTGAGCAAGGAAGTTTTTGCTATCAATTTATTAAAATGCAATTTACTAAAAATTCAATTTACTAATTTGAGTCATGCCAGGAAAAAATTCATTTGGATGTATTTTCCTACTCAAAGATAATCTTGAATTCAGAATAACTGGAGAGAAACCACTTACCTCCAAGTAAGACACTTTGAGAGTAAATTCAAAGTCACTCTTTTCATTAATTTCTTTGAAGAGTAGTTGAATTACCCTGGGAATGACCCCAATAGTTGATTCATGTTCTTGCTCTGCAGTATATGTACCTCCCATTGAATAGGTTTTTCCAGATCCAGTCTGTCCATAGGCCAGGACAGTCGCATTGTATCCTGGCAAAATAGAAGTCATATGGATAGGGACACTTAAAACTGTTCCTCCAGGCCAGGGGTTGGTGGCGCACGCCTTTAATCCCAGCACTCGGGAGGCAGAGGCAGGTGGATCTCTGTGAGTTCGAGGCCAGGCTGGACCGACAGCCTCCAAAACAATACAGAGAAACCCTGTCTCAAAAAACCAAAAAAAAAAAAAAGAGTTGGCACTGGGGCTAGAGAGGTGGCTCAGTGGTTAAGAGGACCCAGGTTTGATTCCTTGCACCCACATGACGGCTACAACTGTCTGTAACTCTAGTTCTATGGGATTTGATGCCTTCTTCTGGCTTCTGTGAGCAGAGCTACAAATGTGGTGCACAGAAATACAAAAAGCCAAAACATGCACATACATAAAAAGAAATAAATCATTAAAAAAGAGTTTGGATGGAGAGAGAATTTGAAAAGCACTGCTGGCCAGTGTTGGCACACACCTTTAATCCCAGCACTTGGGAGGCAAGCGGATCCCTGTGATTTCAGGGCCAGCCTGGTCTACAAGAACTAGTTCCAGGACAGCTTCCAAAGCCACAGAGAAACCCTATAATTTAAGTGTTAGTAAAAATACAGTAAAAGATCAAAGGCTATGAATTCACATGACTAATAGGATGGTGAACAACTTTGTTTTTCCTATTTATATTTTATAAAGTATTAAACAGGATGCACCATTAAATACTGTCTGTGCTTTCCATTGTTGTCTATATAATCTGCATTGCTGCAGAAAGTCAGGTAAGATATATACCTGTTTGAGCTTAGTTCAAGTAAAAGTATTATTTTCTACATCTATTTTTAATTTTGTCTTGCCAGAAAAATATAGAATACTACTTGTACATTTCCTTTTATAAGTTTTGAGTTTTGACTGAAACTGGAAACAAATAATCCTAGCTATAACTATAGCAATATTTTTAAAATGAACAATTAGATAATAGATGGGCTATTCACACCTTAAATTATAACTCACTTATTGATTATAAAGTTGGAGCTAAAAAAACTGTAAATTCAAATTTACTTCAACATGTGATAAATACCTCAGAAAGTCATCCCTTATGAAAGGATTAGACACAATCATAAAGCAACTCTGTTAAAACAACCATTGTATTTTTGCCAAAGCTGTCATCTATTTACCCAGATAATTTTGGAGTCTAAAAAGAAAAATCTAGTTATAAACACCAGCTGGTCTTCTAGATGACCAGGGTTTGATTCTCAGCACACACGGTGGCTTACAACTATCAGAAACTCCAGTCTCATAGGATCCAATGCCCTCTTCTGGCCTCTACAGACACTGCATGTATGTGGTACACAAACATACATCCAGGCAAAACGTCCATACATAAAGCAAGCAAGCAAACAAACAAAATCCCTAAAACCCTGCACGTTTTAAAATCTAAAAATAAAAAATGAAAAAAATCTTTAAAGTTTGAAAAGAATCATGCTAATTTAAGTGATAACTCTGAAGTTCTTAAAAGAACTTCCTGGTGTGGTAGTTTAACACTTTGAATCTCAGCACTTGGGAGGCAAAAACAGGCAGATTTCTGTGGATTTTAAGCCAGCCTGGTTTACACAGCAAGTGCCAGGCAAGCCACACCCTGGGAGGGAAAGGGAGGGGAATAGAGAGTAAGGGAGACCTTTCTGTTGTAAATGAAAGCTCTTAACTTGTAAATTGAAATGTTATAATATATTGCTGCTATAATCTGATATGACTGTGGGGCAAGAGAATAAGATTTTATAACTTTCTACTATCACACGCATAGGGATAAGCAGCAACATCTTAGGAAACCAAGTTTTAGTACTGTGTCTAAAACACTCAGGACTCTGGTACCAGGAGTCCAGAGTACAAGGGGACATTATTGAGCTGAATATAAAAAGACTAGATTTGTTTTTGCAATCAAGGATGGTGTTAGACAAACACTTGTATCTGAATCACATTATATTTGTAACTGTCTTCAAATAATATAGTTTAATTCTCGTATTTCTCAGGTTAAGATTACAAAAGAAGGGATTGAGGGAATGGCTCTGTGGTTAAGAGAATGCACTGCGTTTCCAGAGGACTTGAGTTCAACTCCCACGTACCCACTTCAGGTGGCTCACAACCGGGTCCAGAGGAATCCGGACACTTCTGGCCTCTATGGACACCTGGACTCATGTGCACAGAAAGGCAGACAAGCAGGCAGACAGAAAACACACACACACACATTTAAAATAATAAATAGATAATAAAAAAGAACGACTATTGCACTCTTACTAAACTATAGAAGTGCATTTGAGGAAACTGACCAGATAGTGAAGAATCTAAAACAAAATACTGTTTCAGAAATGGCTAACGGAAACAGGTGTGGTAGCTGGACATGGTGACTCAGGCCCATAAGCCTGACATTCAGGAGAACGAGACAAAAGAATTAGGAGTTCACATCTAGTCTCTATTGCATTGCATAATGAATTCAAAGCCAGCACATACTCAGTGAGACTGTTTTCTAAACAAATAGCAGGATACATGTGATATGAAGGGGAAAAGAGGAAATGGTGGTGGGACTTTAATTGCAGAGGAGCTAGGGAGGACAATAAGGGAGAGGGAGGGGAGAGGGACAGATAACACTAAGGGGTATTTGAAAATGTCATAAAGAATCATAGTATTCTTATTAAAACTACACATAATACATATAAGTGTATGTATATACATATATAGTTTAAATGAACGTATGCCACTTGGGTTCCCCCTCAAGAGCTATAGACTAACAAAAACCCTAGCTCTAGACATGAGAAAACTCCTTTCAAGTTGTTGGTCAGAGGAGACATGAGACTCCCAGTACAATACTGGCTACTATTGTTGTCCCTATTGCTGAACACCATGTACTTTGGACACTGAACTTGGGAGGATCTACAATGGATCTGACCTGAAAGCCTCCTCCCTGGGGACTAGCTTTCACAATATATGAAGGTGTTATGCAAACTACCAAGTGAGGGAAGTAGCCAATAGTCCTAACTAGCTGTGAAGTCTATGAACCACAACAACCAGCATAGCATGATATCCCTAAAGACACTCATATCTTGGTGATAACCAACTGCTTTCTGATTGGGCTAAGGCCCCCTCAACAGGAAGGAAATCATGCCAGATACTCAAAATGTAGCCAAATACCCAGGGCTAGTGAGGTCATGGAACGTGTAGAACCTACTACAACTACTTTACTAAACCAGTATAATTCCCAATTGCATCCTAAGTATTTATCCTTATACCACAGATAAGAGTAGCTTTCACTCTTCAAAGAAGCTTCTCTTTGCAAAAGATGGAGACCATTACAGAAAAACGTAACTGGCCAAAATGCAGAGAACACCTCATCATGGGGTCCTCAGCCTCACTGGATACATGACAACACAACTCCTGTAACCTAAGGCTCAAGGAACATGGCAGACAAGGGGGCAGAACGATTGTATGAGACAGAGGATCAGGAAATCTGCTGTGAGATTGTGTCACCTAGAAAAGACAGGAAGGCTTCACCCACAATACCTCAGCAGTATAGGTGCCTAAACAAGACCCAAAGAAAGACAATACCAACAGACATGCTAACATGGAAGGGAGAAACCTCACAGGGCCCCACTCTTACACAAAGAACTACAGGCAACTAACGACTACTGAGAGAGGGAGAATTAGTCTTCCCCAAGGATGTTCCCCCTTAATTGGTTATCCATATCAAGTTCAGTACTGAAATCATATATATATATATATATATATATATATATATATATATATATATATAAAAGCAACACTAAATAAGCTCAGCAGGTTACATCTATATATTATGCAACTGAATGTGTGTGTGTGTGTGTGTGTGTGTGTGTGTGTAACATAACAATTAAAAAGAGGTCATGTATTTAAGGGGAGAGGGGTGACACACATTAGGAATTGAAGGGGTAAAAGGAATGGGGAACAATTTAATTATTAAAAATAAATAGTGCTGGGCAGTGGTGACACATGACTTTGATTCCAGCTTGAGGGGGGAGTTGGGGGGCAGAGGCAGTCAGATCTCAGTAAGTTCAAGGACAGCCTGTTCTACAGAGTTCCAGGATAGCCAGGACTGTTACACAGAGAAACCCTGTCTCAAGAAAAAAAACCAAAAACAATGGTGTTATTTAGCTGGGCAGTGGTGGCACACGCCTTTAATCCGAGGCCAGCCTCGTCTATAGGACAGGCTCCAAACCTACACAGAGAAACCCTGTCTTGAAAAAATCAAAACATAAATAAATAGATAGATAAATGAGATAAGGAAAAGAATGGAGAGAATAGCTAGTTAGATAAAATTAAACAAAATCATGTAAAAAGAGAAGAGTAACTAGAACCATATCATGGTTTTTCAAATATGTAAAAAGGCAAGAAAAATTAACTTTACAGTGTTTTATACCTTAGTCAGATTATCAAAATGAACATCAACAGTAATAAGACAAATCAAAACCATGTACTGCCTGACAGGAATCAATGAGAATATAGAAACACATCTGTGGTGTTTCTTGCTAAAAAACATAAGGGTTCAAATTTTATAATGTCAGATAAAAGCAAACAGAAACATACAGATAAGTGCTCTGTAATTTTCAAGTATCAAGACAATGTAAGCTTAAAAGAACACAGTAAACAAAGGTTCACTTGGGGACTAAATAACATGATTTTTGAACTAAATTCTTTTGTTATTAAAGGGCATTACTGGCCAAGCCATGGTGACACACATTTTTAATCCCAGCACTCAGGAGGCAGAGGCAGGCAGATCTCTGTGAGTTTGAGACAAGCCTGATCTACAAGAGCTAGTTCCAGGACAGCCTCCAAAACAATACAAAGAAACCCTGTCTCGAAAAACCAAAAAGGGAGGGTGGCATTACTGAAACACTTGGCAAAATTGGAATAGGTCTGGAGATTAGATGGTAGTAATGTGACAATGCAACTTCTATATGACCACTCTGCTGTGTTATGATGACTCTTATAGGAAATACATGGTAAAGCATTCAGTGGGCATTGGGTCAACAATTTATCACAAATGATTCTGGAAAAAATGGTGTCTTTATGCTGTTCCTGCAATATTTCTGTAAGTACAGCATTTTCAAGTTTTAAAACGTGTATTTTGTTTGGGAATATAGCTTACTTGGTAGAGTACTTTTCTAGCATGCAAAAGCCCTGGGTTCGCTTCCCAGCAGAGAATAACCGAGGACGGAGGTGCACATCTGGAATCCTGAAACTTGGGAGGTCACAGGGAGGCCCAAAAGTCCAAGGTCATTCCTGGTTATTTAGTGAGTTCCAGGAAAGCCTGCACTACATGAGACCTTGTCTGAAATTAAAAACAGGCTGACAAGGTGTCCTGGTGAGTAACAGTACTCACTATCGAGTCTGACAACCTCCATTTATTCCCCAGAACCCGAACAGTAAGGAACTAATGCCTGCAAGTTGTTCTGACCCTCACATGTTCATTGTGACACACCAGCACATACAATTCACACTAAATAAATAGATAAATAAATGTAAAAAATTAAAAATAAATAAGTAAAGGTTGGGTCTGAGGAAATGGCCCAGTGGGCAGATTGCTTGCTTTGCAAGCCTGGGAACCTGAGTTCAGATCTCTACATAAAAACTGGGCATGGTAGCATGTATCTGTGTAAAGCCAGCACTGAGAGGGCAGACACAGGTAGTTCCTGGGTACTTGCTGGCCAGTCAGTCTAGCTGAAATGGTTCAGTAAGAGACTGTGTCTCAAAAACAAGATGGAGAGCAACAGAGAAAAAATACCTGTTGACCTCTGACCTCTACAAAACATGCATGAGCAAAGACACCTGTACACACATGTGCATATACTTAGATATTCAATGTACCCTGCGACATGACATCATTTAAGTTTTGTTGTTTGTTTTCTTTTTTTTCTTTTTGGTTTGAGACAGGGTTTCCCTGTATAGCCCTGGCTGACCTGGAACTCACTCTGCAGACCAGGCTGGTCTCGAACTCACAGAGATCCGCTGGCTCTGCCTCCCGAGTGCTGGGATTAAAGGTGTGCGCCATCACCGCCGGGCTTAATTTTTTATTTTCTGCCCGGCTTAATTTTTTTTTTTATTTTTAGTGAAAACACTGTAGTTCAGCAATATTGCAAGAATAGCAGAAAGAACTCTTTTTTTTCCTGAACCATTTGGGATGAATTTAATGAGTGTGTGTGTGTACCTCTGTGAGTTTATGTGCACCTGTGCATGCAGGTGCCTGTGGAAGCCAGAGGGTATCAGATATCCTACAACTGAAACTATGGGCAGTTGTGAGCTGCTTGATGTGAGTGTTGGGTACCAAACCTGGGTCATCTGTAAGAACAGCAAGTACTCTTAACCACTGAGCCATTGATTCCAGTCCCCAAAGTATTTTTAAAGGATGAAATTGTATTTGAATAGCTGTTGCTTAGAAGGCTTGAGAGTATCTAGAATGATAACTAAGATCACTGGGTAGAAATTACTGGGAGGTAAATTTCTTTTCAGTATTGAGATCTTTGCTGCATAAATAAAGTTGTGTAAAGGCTGATGAGACAGTGAAGCAGGTGGGTTTCAATATCTGGTAGAAGAGGACCATCTCCTGCAAATTGTCCTCGGACTCCCCCTCTCCCACACTGTGACACATACTCACACAAAATAACTGTAAAAAACTGCATTGTCCCAAAGCAAGCAATTATTAAGTGGGCCACTCTATAATTCTATGACTTCTCTGTCAAAGAAAACTTTAAGCAGACCGTAGAGGTGGCTGTACCAGTGCATGTGCATAACTTCAATCCTTTAGGGGTAAAGACAGAAGGATCAAGAGTTAAGAAGCCGGGCGGTGGTGGCGCACGCCTTTAATCCCAGCACTTGGGAGGCAGAGGTAGGCAGATCTCTGTGAGTTCGAGGCCAGCCTGGTCTACAAAGCGAGTTCCAGGACAGCCTCCAAGACAATACAGAGAAACCCTGTCTCGAAAAACCAAAAAAAAAAAAAAAAGAGTTAAGAGTCAGCTTCTCCTACAGATCTACTTTGAGGTCAGCCTGGGCTAAATGAGACCCTGCCACAAACAAGACAGTGGAAGTTCATCTAATTGCTAAAAAGCATTTTTCTTTGGATGAAAAGTTAAGCCAGATTATATGCAATGTATTTTACAATTTAAAAGCACTAATATGATATGGTTCTCATTTTAAAATTACTAGCTACTGACACCTGCACAAGATCAAGCCAGCCAAAATCCCAGGATGGATACACGGTGCTACTCATGAAGTCCCCCATCTAGCTGAGGAACTACTAGCAATTGATGGCTACTGGAGGAGGGACAATCAGTTTTCTTCAGGGGTGTGGCCTGCAGAGGCTACCCATACTCCATAAGATACTCCTACATACTGGCAGTACTAAACAGACTCTGTGTTTAAGAACAAAAGAGAGTATATGTGCTGGAGAGAGGGGAGGAATTAAAGAGGAAGACATGGGAGAAGATTTGATAAGACACATTGTATGCATGTATGAAATTCTCAAATAATTAAAAAAAAGAAATTTGAATAGCCACTGTACTAAAATAACAACTAGACAAGTTCTACCCTCTTTGGAATCATGCTATTAAAACCTTAGCTTCTAGCCGGTGTTGGTGGCACACGCCTTTAATCCCAGCACTCGGGAGGCAGAGGCAGGCGGATCTCTGTGAGTTCAAGACCAGCCTGGTCTACAGAGTGAGTTCCAGGACAGCCTCCAAAAAAATGTACAGAGAAACCCTGTCCAAAAAAACAAATGAACAAACAAAAATAAATAAGTATTACTAACTGGCCATAACATTCAAGGTTTCAAAAAAAACTGTCAATGTGTGGTGGTGGCTCACACCTTTAGTCCCAGCACTCAGGAGGCAGAGGCAGGCAGATCTCTGTGAGTTCAAGACCAGTCTGGTCTACAGAGTAAGTTCCAGGACAGCCTCCAAAACAATACAGAGAAACCTTGTCTCGAAACCCCCCCAAAAAAACTGTCTAAAAATTTCTACTCATTCAATACCTACCTCAAAAGTTCCCTCTGCTTGGAAATTCACCTAAATCCATCTAAAAGGAGTTAGTGCTAACCTATTTTTCATACCACTTTGCACGAAAGTAGGAAACCACTACAGTAGGATTCATTGTGTATATTCACACATTCAACAGATTAAACAGGGTCTCACTATGTATCCTTGGCTGGCCTGGAACCCTATATGTGTAGATCAGACCAGGCTGGCCTTTATTTTACAGAGATTCACTTTTCCTCTGCCTGCCCCCTACATGCTAGAATTAAATGTATGCACGGTCACATCAATTTTTGGCTATATTGTGAATTTACAGCCAGCCTGGGTTATAAGAAACTCTGGGGGGAAAAGAAAAGAAAACTCACAAGAAAGTGTGAAATAGATGTAAAACTGTAATTTTTTCTGTGCATTCTAACTCACTTATATACTCATCTACCTGTTCTCTGACCCTGTGGACTTTGAACTCTTTCAGAGCCCAGAGGCTCTATTACTTATCTGAATACTGAGGCTTGGGACTCCAGCAGGTTGACACACAATCAGCACCAAGATAAAACCATATATTCTATATTTTGTTTTGTTTTTTATGCGTTTTTGAGACAGGATTTCTTTGTGTAGCCCAGGCTGGCCTGGAACTCAGAGACCTGCCTGCCTTTGCCTCCCAAGCGCTGGGATTAAAGACGTTTGCCACCATACTCTAAAGGGTGAGCTGATCCTCTAGTGATCCCAAGACAACAAAAAATGTGTCTAGGCCAGGATAAACAGAACAGTCTAAAGCTAGCTTCAAGGGTAGAAAGACTTAACAAATTTTACTAGGCTGCGGGCTCTTTTTAAAGGAAGGAGTCTGTTCCAGCCGTTTCTATTTGTAGTGCTCATATGACCCACACAGAATATATGCTCAAAAAATAGGTAGGTAAATGAAACAGCCTCACCTTTAAATATGCCTTTTATGAGTGGAGCTACTGCTGTATTAAAGACCTCTTCCTGCTCAGTAGAGGGGTCAAACACAAAATCGTAGGTAAATGATTTATCCGTACCAACTACCACCTGCAAAAGGCAAGAGACAAGCCATTGGGGGTTGGGGAGCTAAAAACCCAGACCACGCCCCCCCGCTGCCTTTCAGCCCCAGCTGCAGAGGGTGGCTCTAAACTCTTACCCACCTGAGGCTCTCCGGGCACAAAGGAAAGGCACGTCTGGCAGCCCTCACTAATCTCTTTAGAGACCAGGGGGCGACAACGCAGTGCCACTCTTACAGGAATTCCCTTCACCTCTTCTTTCATGGTACCAGCTCAGCAGGCGTCCGCACGGAGTGAAGCCGGCTCTGAGGGGGCTCCGCAGGCTGGCAGGAGTGGAAAGGCCCCCAGGCGGTAGAAGACCTTGGAACTCGGTGGTGCAGCCCTCCCTCCCAGTCTCTGCTCACGCTCAGATTTGGCCACCGCCTAATGGTCTGTCAGTCCCAACGCTGGGCTATCTGAAATAAAAAGAAAAGAAAAAAAAAAAAAAACCTCGAACGGAGACAGCGATCACGCCAAAGCCCTAACGTGCTAGAAAAGGCGGAATCTGAGCTACCGTGGCCCCACAACTCACCAAACTAAACGTCCTTTCCAGGATCTCCCCTGGCGCCCCGTTCCAACTGGAGCTTTAACCGCCAAGTTTCAAATTGATCCCAGAGGCGCCAGCCAATCGGAGTGCAGACAGCCTGTGACAGGAGAAAGCGTGTGAGCACGCACAACGTGACGCCAGGGAGAGCTTGAGACCTGGCTCGCCCAAAGCGACTCGCTGGTAGCAAGCATCCGCTTCCGGTTCCTAGGCCAAATTAGCCGCGAGCCGAGGCGCCGCGGAGGGAGGCCTATTTGCCGGTGAGGTGGTGCTGGGTTAAAAGTGGTCGTGAGCGTGGGATTCGGGCGGGATACGGGACCTGGATCTGGAAGGTAGTCGGTGCTGATGGAGTCCATCTGTGGATGGCACCTTTACTAAGTACCTCTAGAGAATGTGGGAGGTGCCCGTCAGTCCCCAAGCCCTATGGGATAGTTAAGAGTTGGTACTGCCTTGCTGTTTTAAAGTAGATCTTTGTAAATGCTATTCTAATTTCTTCTTGTCTAGGTTGAAGGCGGTGACACTTACATTTATAAAATTGTGAGAAATGGGAACATACCATTAGAGTGCATAACAAGGTGCTAGGTATCTAGATATGTAGAAAAATGATAGGGTTTTTTTTGCCCCCTTTTCCCCCTCCAATCTTAACATCTCCATGTGGGCTGGATGGCTTTAGGATGGGATGTTTTCAGAAACTTAGCTTGATCCTTTTAAAAATCATCTTTGTTTGCTTTGGTTTATCCTTTTCAGGGCTTTGCCTGAAATGGATAACCGGATCTCTTATGATGACTACCCAGTGGTTTTCCTGCCTGCATATGAGAACCCTCCAGCGTGGATTCCTCCTCATGAGGTGGGAACAGTCTGCATTCCTGAATAAGGAATACCCACCTCCAAGTATGAGATCTATGAAAGATAGAGTAACAGGGTTGTGAAACTCAATGCAGAGTGAGTCTTAGGTGAATTCCGAGCAACAGGGACCCATTGTAAACTTCTTGTAGAATCATCTTGCCAGACTCTTTCACACCAGTGAATTCTGAAAATTCAGAACCTTAGTTTCCATCCTATCAATAAAAAAGGATAGGGATATATGGGGCTGCTAGCATATCCTGAGACAAAACATCTCATTTAGACTGTTATCTGTTCTGTGTAAACTGAGTCTGTCACTTTAGCACTGTCAGACTTACATCGGACTTGTTAATATTCTAAAAGAAGGTAGATGTGACATCTTAAGACTAGGAAGAAGATTTCTGAAATTGCTGTGTCTTGCAGAGAGTATACCACCCAGACTACAACAATGAGTTGACCCAGTTTCTGCCCCGAATTGTCACACTGAAGAAGCCTCCCGGTGCTCAGGTAAATTTTGTCCATGCCAGAAGTTGGCCATGATTGGGTCATGGATGTGGATTGGGAAGTAGGTAACCAGAAAAGCTGACGCTACTGTAGTGTCTCATTTTTTTTGTGAGTATACTGATGTTCCTAAAAGTTCTTATGTTTGTGATCTATACTGAGTCACCATTCTATGCTCTTGTCTTACAGCTGGGATTTAACATCCGAGGAGGAAAGGCCTCCCAGCTAGGCATCTTCATCTCCAAGGTCTGTATATGAATGTGTGTGTGGCAAGCTATATTACTAACTATTCCCTTTTAACAAGGCTATTTGTGCCCCCAATAACTGGAAAATGGATGATCCAGTGGAGTCATAGAATGCATTTGGGTCAGAACTCCAGAGCAGAAGCAGGAAGATCAGGAGTAGGTAGTAAGAATCTATTAAGCAGACCTGGTGGTAGTGGCACACACCTTTTAATCTCAGTACCCTGGAGGTAGAGGCAGGCAGATCTCTGAGTTTAAGGACAGCCAGGGCTACATGAACTATCTCAAAAAAACCTAAACAAAAACAACGAAGAATCTAAAGTCAGGTGAACACTTTCAATCCCAGCTCTCGGGAGTCAGAGGAGGTGGATGTCTGAGTTCAAGTCTGCCTGGTGTACAGATGAAGATCCAGTACTACACAGAGAAACCCTGTCTCAAAAAATCTATAAAGCCAAAAGCAAACTGAGAACCAAATTTCCTTTGGCATACCACTTATCTCCCTGTGGTGTCACAGAAAATGACACATTTGAACAGCACTGAATTTCCCCTGCAGTCTCCTGAAATTACTCCATCTCGATTACATGTATTATCCCTTTACTAACAGGTGATTCCAGACTCTGATGCACATCGAGCAGGACTTCAAGAAGGGGACCAAGTTCTAGCTGTGAATGATGTGGATTTCCAGGATATTGAGCACAGCAAAGTAAGCAGAGCACGTGGGCTATAGTTGTGTAAGAAGCCATCTCAGGTAGGACAGGTTGAACAGGATTAGCCTAATCTGTGAGAAAGCATCTCTCCAAGGGAAATGTACCAGAAGAGAACAGCTATCAGTGACCTAGATGTTTGAAGTGGCACATTACATTCCTTTGTTATGATTCTGTCCTGGGTAATGTCTCTTCATTTGTATAAGCTGCTGTGTTCTTTCCAGGCTGTTGAAATCTTGAAGACAGCCCGAGAAATCAGCATGCGAGTGCGCTTCTTTCCTTACAGTAAGGCACTTTTTTTTCTTACATAGCAGGGCTCTAGGTAACTAAAACTCTTTTTAATATGGATAACAACAAACCTTAGATGTTGGGAATGGGCAGTTGGGAGCTCAGCCTGAAAGTAATGTGCTGTGTTCTTTCTTACCCCAGATTATCATCGTCAAAAAGAGAGGACTGTGCACTAGAGACTTGCAGCCCACAGCACTCCATATGGAACCTGCCAGAGCAAGCTGGCTAGCCCTCTGAGAAGCCAGCCAGGAAATTCTACTCTCAGCGCCTTCCTGGCTTAGTGGATGGGGAGGATGGGGAGATAGCTTGCTGGCTGCATTCTGTATAAACTGTACTGTGCTTGGAGTTCCCTAGTTTCCTAGGTGAGTTCCATTCTGGAAAAGAAGAAAGATGATAATGTCTAGATGTCTGTAGCCTGTGTGGAAAGCCGGCTAGAAAGCAACTAGCATTTATCAGGTACCACAGATACTTATACAGCTTATTTTAGTTTTAGAAATCAGTAGAAAAAAAGAGTCTGGGGTACCTTCCATGTGATTTGTCCAGCCATGCCATCCAGTCCAACACACTTGGGAGAATCCAAAGAGACACTGTTTTTGTCCCTTCCTCCTCATCTCCCCAAAGTAAAAATGCAGTACCAAATAAATGTGGCTTGAGTCATACTGTTTGTATATAAAATGCCATTGAGTTTTTTTAAAAGCCCATAACATCCAAACACTGGAAGAAACAGCAATAGCATACCTACTTTACAACTATCTATATCTAGAACTTAAACCAAGGAAGTAGCATAGATACATTTCTTCTCACAGGCAGCAGTAAGAAACTGGTTCCTGATTTCCCACTTGTAGTTTGAATAGTGCTGACTGCCAGCTTCCTCCTTTTTCTGATTCCCACCCCCAAATAACTTTCTGTCATCCTAGATATTTAGTGACTGACCATTAGATACTGCACAGACCACATCTGTGCCATCTCCATTGACATCAAAATAGCATTCAGAATTTAAAGACTTTTTTTCTTCTAAAGGAGGTGCTACTACAATGAAAGCTCAAATTTTGTCTTAACTCTCTGGGTTAAAAGGATGCCTGCTTCCAAGCCTGAATCTGAGTTTGGTCCCCAGGATCCACATGGTGGAGGGAGAGAACTGATTCCCAAAGTTGTCTGCTGTCCTCTGCCTGCAGGCTTTGGCATGCAGGCACATACAAGACTCCTGGGGAGCTGAACTGAAGTCTCTTAATTCCCTCTGGAGAGTGAGTCTTTTGGTTTGTGGGAGAACTAGAAATCTACCCTTTTAAATAAACAAGGTAAACACATTTTCAAATGGATGAAATGCAGAAACTGGCTCTTCCAATGAATCCTACCCCAGCTATACTAAAGATATTGCTAGAGGCTCTTCTGTTGTTGCTTGACACTATGCCTTCTGAGCAGAGCTGGGGGTAGAATTAGCTTAAGTCTTCCTGGGAAACCTATCCTCTAATTGGCTCTGCTGACCCCCAGTGGTCATGTGAGAAAAAAAAACTTGGATATTTCCACAAAACTATTAGCTGAGCCTGTTGAACAATGTTAAAGTCAAGGTTAATAAATGTGTTGAGTTTATTTTTTTTCTGAGACAGATTCTCGTTACATAGTGCAAGCTGACCTTGCACTCATAATTTTCCTGCTTCAGCCTCTGAAATTCAGACATTACAGGTATATATCACTGTACCCAGCTATAGTTAACGGGTATTTTGGGGGGCGGTTGAGCCAGGGTTTCTCTGTGGCTTTGTAGGCTGTCCTGGAACTAGCTCTTGTAGACCAGGCTGGTCTCGAACTCACAGAGAACCGCCTGCCTCTGTCTCCGGAGTGCTGAGATAAAGGTGTGCACCACCACCACCACCACCACCCGGCAGGATAGCAATTCTTAACCTGTGGGTCATGACCCCTTTGGGAGTGAAATGACCTTTTCACAGGGGTCAAATATCAGATATCCTGCATATGAGCTATTTACATTGTGATTCGTAACTAACAAAAACAGTTTTGAAGTAACATTGGGGTTCACCACATGACAAACTGTATTAGGGGGTCACAGCATTAGGAAGGTTGAGAACCACTGCTTTAGGCTGAGGTTCACAGATACTCATTATTTTAATTTTACTAATATGGTTATTGTTTTAAATATTAAAGATTCTTCTTCAAGACCCAGTAGAATGACACTGAGTTGGATTTCAGGTTAAATATCATTTAATGCAGGTGGCTTCCAGCCTGGGAAACTGGGAAACAGCACCCATCTACTAAGTTTTAAATCAATCTGGGCCAGTGAAGTGGCTTAGCAGGTGTAGGCACTTGCTGCCAGGTCCAGTGGCCTGAGCTTGATCCACATGATAAAACAGACTTGCAGGTTAGCCTTTCACCTCCACTTACATGCCATGGCACATATGTCCACATACATGCACACACGGTAAGTAAATAAATGCAAACAGCAACTTATCTAAAAAGTGTGGTCGAAAGTTCCAGCAGCGGGGGCTGGAGAGATGCCTCACCAGGTAAAAATATTGGTGTCTTCTCCAGAGGTT